GAGAATAATGGAAAGAACTGTTACTAAATTTGACTATGTCTATTTAACCATCACCCATTCCTGCAACAGTTTGTGACTACTGAATAGTAATCTGTGGCTGAATAATTTTGTGTAAAAATATATTGGTTCGATGAAGACTAGGGTAGGAAATGAACTTGCAACAACATGACCCCTAACACGTTTGAAACGTTGTCAATTTATGCCGAAAAGCGCAAATTCATTTATTTTCAAGATAAGATATCGAAAATTTCGTTGATGGGTATCTTTGATATCTTATCTTTCAAGAATCCAATGGTTCAGAGGACAATGGGGGGGGGGGGGGGGGGGGGTCGATACCCCACATGGATACAACCCGTCCTTGTCGTGAAAGGCGACTATGCTTGTCGTAAGAGGCGACTAACGGGATCGGGTTGTCAGGCTCGCTGACTTGGTTGATGCATGTCATATCCCAATTGGGTGGACCCGTGAAGCTCTGTAAAGAATCGAGTCTGGAGCAGACAATCCAGTGATTGGCACCATGACCATCGATCTACGCAATTGGGATACGCTGACATGCCTATCCCGTTAGTCGCCTTTTATCAGCTCTTGAATTCCCCAAGAACCTCAATCCAGAGAATTTGACATTTTAATTTTTCTCACCCTATCGACACAGCCTGTGTTTATACCGCTGTTTATAACAAATCCAAGGTCTACATTAGTTTATCGGTAGTCGCCAGCATAGTGGACCAGACAAACCAGTGATTGATGTTGCTACAACGTCACAAGGCGTTGGAGTTCGATGACACACAATGAACCAAGACACCGAGTCTGTCTACAGAACTGTCTCTACAACAGTGTAAAGGATAAATGCAGCGGAATATCCTTGTGTAATGAACAATGTTATTTATTGCAGACAACACGGGACAAGAGTTCTAACGTACTGGCGCAACCTAACATTATTAATTACGTCGTCATCACTGGTCAACGATCCTAGTTTGAACAACAGAACACGTCATAAACATTTTTTAAGAACTATTTCGAATTCAGATCAATTGAACCAGATTTTTTTCCGTTAAGATATTCGGCAGTGTCAAATAACTAAATTGTAACTGTGACGCTATTGTTACTGTATGTCATTTGATCATTTTGGATACTCGAGCTTACCATTTGATATTCTGGGTGGGGAGTGGGTGGGGGTAGGGTGGGCAGGAATTTTATGGAAGTACAAATTGTCCCTGAAAATGCTTGAAAAAAAAGAAGCTTCATGCTTTTGAAAAAACAACGAAATTGTCTGCCACAATAATACAATACTGAAAAATGTTGGGGTTTTTTTTAAAAAAAAGAGTATTAAATTCATAGTTTTAATTTTTTTAAATCTGGTTTTGCAGTTGTAGATGAAACAATATCTAGTCTCCAAACTAAATCCCCCACTTTCTCCACCCCCACCCCATCCCCATCCCCAAGAACGTCAAACGGTCGGTCCCTTGTGTCAAGGCCGGTCCTTTGTCTGTTTTGCACTGGTGTTTTATGTTGTGCCGTTGAGATAGTTCAGTGAAACACGTTCATGTCCACGTGGATAATTCATTACTTTAGACACTACCGAAGATGACCGTCTGTACGTTCACATAGCCACGTGATAATATGTACAATTATGTGACCGACGATCTGTGATAAGGACAGTGGCACTGATTCAAGATGACTAAAAGGCCACAGGTCCTTCTGGTTGCTGCCTTCCTGGCTTATTTGCAATGTGCCCGGGGAATATTTTACGCTCAACCGGAACAGATCCACCTGTCTTATGGCCGTAAGTGTGTGGAATATCAGGCCTTCACATATGCAGCCTTGTAGCATCATTGGTGCCTCTCATGGCATGTTTTCAAAATTGACAATCAATCGACATATGAATCAAAGGATTTGCAATGCTTTCCAAGCTAAATAATTCTTCTTGAAGTCCCTTTAGGCCGGACTGCCTCCGTGGTCTAGTGGTAGAGCGTCCGCCCGGAGAGCGGAAGGTCCGGGGTTCGATCCCCGGCCGCGTCATTCCAAAAGACGTTATTAGATGGTTCTTGTTGTTACCCTGTCTGTCGCTCGGCATTAAGGGGCTAAAACAAGGACTGGTCGGCTCGGAGTCAGTATACTGTGTCTGAGTGGGGTATTTATATTAAACTTCGACATGGTATCTCAGTGGGCTAGCACTATAAATCGGCATCAGTCCGGACTAGAACAAGCAGCCACACAAACATACACACATACATACGCGTCGCTATATAAGTGCAATAATCTTGGACGCGACGTTAAACCCCATTTCACCTCACCTCACCTCTTTAGACCGTGTTTGTTATAGGTGGCCGTCTTCGGTGATCGTCATCTAGAACACCCATATTTGACCGTGTACGTTTAAGTTGACCAGTCTTCGATGATCGTGACGTACAATACCAATAATATGACCTTGTGCGTTGTAGGTGACCCGTCTACGATTAACGTGACCGAGAACACCCATCACGGACCTTGTATATTGTAGGAGACCGCCTTCGATGATCGTGAGAAAGAACACCAATGTCTTACCATGTACGTTTAAGTCGCCGATGATCGTGATCTGGAACAACCAGTGTGCGTTGTAGATGCCCCGATTTCGATGATCGTGACCTAGGAGACCAAATATTGACCTTGTATATTGCAGGTGACCGCCTTCGATGATCGTGATCTAGAACACCGCTGGTTGACCTTGTTTGTTGTAGGTGACCGCCTTTAATGACCGTGATCTAGAACACCAATACGTGACCTTTTATGTTACAGCTGACCGTCTTCGATGGGCGTGATCTAGAACACCAATACGTGACCTTTTATGTTACAGCTGACCGTATTCGATGGGCGTGATCTAGAACACCAACACTTGACCTTGTATGTTACAGGGGATCCGTCTTCGATGGGCGTGATCTAGAACGCCAATACTTGACCTTGTATGTTACAGGTGACCCGTCTTCGATGGTCGTGATCTTGAACGCCAATACTTGACCTTGTATGTTACAGGGGATCCGTCTTCGATGGGCGTGATCTAGAACACCAATACTTGACCTTGTATGTTACAGGGGATCCGTCTTCGATGGTCGTGATCTAGAACACCAATACTTGACCTTGTATGTTACAGGTGACCCGTCTTCGATGGGCGTGATCTAGAACACCAATACTTGACCTTGTATGTTACAGCTGACCGTCTTCGATGGTCGTGATCTAGAACACCAATACTTGACCTTGTATGTTACAGCTGACCGTCTTCGATGGTCGTGATCTAGAACACCAATACTTGACCTTGTATGTTACAGGTGACCCGTCTTCGATGGGCGTGATCTAGAACACCAATACTTGACCTTGTATGTTACAGCTGACCGTCTTCGATGGTCGTGATCTAGAACACCAATACTTGACCTTGTATGTTACAGGTGACCGTCTTCGATGGGCGTGATCTAGAGCACCAATACTTGACCTTGTATGTTACAGCTGACCGTATTCGATGGGCGTGATCTAGAACACCAATACTTGACCTTGTATGTTACAGGGGATCCGTCTTCGATGGTCGTGATCTAGAACACCAATACTTGACCTTGTATGTTACAGGTGACCCGTTTTCGATGGTCGTGATCTAGAACACCAATACTTGACCTTGTATGTTACAGCTGACCGTTTTCGATGGTCGTGATCTAGAACACCAATACTTGACCTTGTATGTTACAGCTGACCGTATTCGATGGTCGTGATCTAGAACACCAATATTTGACCTTGTATGTTACAGGTGACCCGTCTTCGATGGTCGTGATCTAGAACACCAATACTTGACCTTGTATGTTACAGCTGACCGTCTTCGATGGTCGTGATCTTGAACACCAGTACTTGACCTTGTATGTTACAGGGGACCCGTCTTCGATGGTCGTGATCTAGAACACCAATACTTGACCTTGTATGTTACAGGGGATCCGTCTTCGATGGTCGTGATCTAGAACACCAATACTTGACCTTGTATGTTACAGGGGATCCGTCTTCGATGGTCGTGATCTAGAACACCAATACTTGACCTTGTATGTTACAGGTGACCCGTCTTCGATGGTCGTGATCTAGAACACCAATACTTGACCTTGTATGTTACAGGTGACCCGTCTTCGATGGTCGTGATCTTGAACACCAATACTTGACCTTGTATGTTACAGCTGACCGTCTTCGATGGTCGTGATCTTGAACACCAGTACTTGACCTTGTATGTTACAGCTGACCGTCTTCGATGGTCGTGATCTTGAACACCAGTACTTGACCTTGTATGTTACAGGGGACCCGTCTTCGATGGTCGTGATCTTGAACACCAATACTTGACCTTGTATGTTACAGCTGACCGTCTTCGATTGTCGTGATCTTGAACACCAGTACTTGACCTTGTATGTTACAGGGGACCCGTCTTCGATGGTCGTGATCTAGAACACCAATACTTGACCTTGTATGTTACAGCTGACCGTCTTCGATGGTCGTGATCTTGAACACCAGTACTTGACCTTGTATGTTACAGGTGACCCGTCTTCGATGGTCGTGATCTTGAACACCAATACTTGACCTTGTATGTTACAGCTGACCGTCTTCGATGGTCGTGATCTTGAACACCAGTACTTGACCTTGTATGTTACAGGGGACCCGTCTTCGATGGTCGTGATCTAGAACACCAATACTTGACCTTGTATGTTACAGGTGACCGTCTTCGATGGTCGTGATCTAGAACACCAATACTTGACCTTGTATGTTACAGGGGATCCGTCTTCGATGGTCGTGATCTAGAACACCAATACTTGACCTTGTATGTTACAGGTGACCCGTCTTCGATGGTCGTGATCTAGAACACCAATACTTGACCTTGTATGTTACAGCTGACCGTCTTCGATGGGCGTGATCTAGAACACCAATACTTGACCTTGTATGTTACAGGTGACCCGTCTTCGATGGTCGTGATCTAGAACACCAATACTTGACCTTGTATGTTACAGGGGACCCGTCTTCGATGATCGTGACGTGGAACACCATCAATGACACGAAGATCTCAGCTGTGAAATATGGTTCCAGTCCTCTGGCCATCAACCAGCAGGTCACCGGCTACAGCACCCATTTTGTGGATGGGGGGACGGAGCACAGGGCCCAGTACATACACAGAGTTGTCATCACTGGGCTTACTCCCGGACAGAAATACTGTAAGTATGTGTAGAGAGTTACGATCACTTGGCTTACTCCCGGACAGAAATACTGTAAGTATTTGTAGATAGTTACGATCATGCCTTACTCCGGGACAGAAATACTGTAAGTATTTGTAGGGAGATACGATCACTGGTCTTACTCCTGGACAGAATACTGTAAGTATTTGTAGGGAGACACGATCACTGGTCTTACTCCCGAACAGAATACTGTAAGTATTTGTAGGGAGATACGATCACTGGTCTTACTCCTGGACAAACATACTGTATGTATATACAGATGTCCACACTCACTGTGCCTACTCACGGACATATACTCCTGGCATATGTTGAGATTCACGGTCACTTGAACCACCCCTGAACAGAAACACTGTGAGTATACTATGTAGAGATTAAGTAAGGTCGTGGCCACCAGTTTGAGTAAAGGGCTAAGCCAAACTCCTGCTTATCTTCATGTGACGTGAAGCAGAATCACGTCTTCCTGTCCCGTGTTGTCTTAAAGAACCGCACCACACCGTGTCATGAAAGTGGTAACACTACTTAAGGTCTTCAGCAGCCCATGCTTGCAGTTAAAGGCGACTATGCTTGTCGTAAGAGGCGACTAACGGGATCGGTTGGTCAGGCTTGACTTGTTTGATGCATGTCATCGTATCCCAATTGCAAAGATCGATGCTCATGATATCAATCGCTTGATTGTCTGGTCCAAACTCGATTATTTACGAATATAGATGTGGAATATTGCGTAGTGCGACGTTTAACAACAAGCAAACAAAAACAAAACTTATAAAACCAGTTCAATGAACTTGACGCGGAACGAAGCGTGTTTGAACAAACCACTCAGCTACAGAATACTACAAACACACACTTCGGCGCCATGTACTGGTTTTATTAACTGTCTTATCAGCAAGCGTGTTGTCGCAGAAGAGATTGGGATTGTATTTTAGCTTTAAGTGATAAGGCTTTATCAGTATTTTGTTTGACCGGATTTTCTTGCGAAATCTTGACGTCAGCTGTGTGTTACTCAGAAGATAGGGGCACGAGTGGCCCAGTCGTCTAAGGCGCCGCGATTCGCTGTGCAGAGTTGCGTCCCTTTGGCACGGCAGAAACCTATAACTGTTGGTTCGAATCCCGGTTCGCCCCGATTATGTTTCTAGGTTTGTCAGCACCATACCCGTGCTCGTGGGTTTCACCGAAGTGGTAAACGTCTGAGACCTGCATCACATCGGGCTTTCCTCCCACATTAAGCTTACACGCCGCGATATAATTGGAATACTGTTAAAAGCGGTGTTAAACCTAATTCACTCACTCACTCAGTAGATAGTATACTTGTTATGTCCTCTCGGGTTAGTGGCAATGAGCGAACCTTTGGTCACGTATATCACAAATCGCCATAGGGACGACGAATTTAAGTCAGCGAATTTACAGCTAAAGCACCGTGGATTGTAGGCAGCATTATTACAGCTCCAATACGGTGACCTGTAGTCAGCAATAGTACAGCTGTATCACTGTGGACTGTAGTCAGCAATACTACAGCTGTAGTACTGTGGCCTGTTGTCATCAATATTACAGCTGTAGCACGGTGCTTGTAGTCAGAAATGTTACAGTTGTAGTACCGTGGCCTGTAGTCAGCAATGTTACAGCTTTAGTCAGCAATACTACAGCTGTAGTCAGAAATATTACAGCTATAGTACTGTGGACTGTAGTCAGCAATACTACAGCTGTATCACTTTGGACTGAATACTACAGTTGTATCACTGTGGACTGAATACTACAGCTGTATCACTGTGGACTGAATACTACAGCTGTATCACTGTGGACTGAATACTACAGCTGTATCACTGTGGACTGAATACTACAGCTATATCAATGTGGATGTAGTCAGTAATAATACAGCTTTATCACTACTACTACTACTACTACTACTACTACTACTACTACTAATGATAATAATAATAATAATAATTATTATTATTCACTCGATTCATTCGATGTCATTGAGTAAAAACAAGTAATTCACGTATTAGGACTAGAACCACTGTGGCAGTTATAGTCACGGTGTCTGTCTTCCTCCCCCAGTCTACCACTGCGGCAGCGACTATGGGTGGAGCGACCCCTTCTTCTTCACGACCATGCCCGAGGGGACCGACTGGAGCCCCCGCATCGTCATGTTCGGGGACCTGGGAAACGTCAACGCCCAGTCCCTGCCCCGGCTCCAGTCCGAGGTGGACATGTACGACGCAGTCCTTCACATAGGTGAGTACGTAAAACACTATTCAGTTACCACCGCGTTTAACTGTATCTCACAGCGTGGCATCGTGATGTTTGAGGTAAATACAGACTGGAGCAGTTCATAGACATTGACAACTTTCTAGAAACCCACGAATATGAGTATTGCGTTGACAAGGGGGACAACACTGGGATTCGAACCCACGGCAAGCCGGTCCGAGCTCGGTTCAAACGGGATCACACCTGTCCGTCTTTTAGCACCCGTATGCCTTCACGCATCCGTACGCTTGTATACGTTTACGCTTATCCACTTATTAACACGTATCCACACGTACAGTCTGTAGTCCATGTTGCAGACGTGCATTGAGGGAATTTCGGAGGGTTCAAAATATAATGTGACGTCACAACAGGTGCTATTCCATCAGCATCCCCAAAATTGGTCTTGAGTCGAAAAAACCCCGGGTGTGGGACACGTATCTAAAATAAGGACATGGGTAGATACCCGAATGTATTTGGCGATACGGTTAAAAAATACGGATAGGGCTAAATGGCCCATTAGACCATCGGGCTAGTATCACTCCTGGAGGCCGATCTTCTTGTTCCGATCACTGCGCAAATAATTCGTACCTAGTTTTTTCGAAGGTATTATGTCGGACGATATGATGATTATCTTTTGAAAGACAGGTGATTGAGAAAATACCGAGATTGCGATATTCGATCAAATCGCAACATCCTGTGATTCTTTGCTGAAATTTGGTGTGTGTTTTTTGTTTTGTTCTTTTGCAGTACTGGTCATATGTAGTTGAGCAATTTACATTTAGTCTTTTCCCACTTTTCAGGTGATTTTGCGTACGACATGGATAAAGTAAGTCAGAAAATTAACGTTTTCAGCTTATTTTATGAATTATTACAAAATTATGAGTCTCAGAGTGGAAGGGTATGGTTTGACGTCGCGTTCAGCAATATCACAGCAATATCACAGCAATATCAGAGCAATATTCCGGCAATATCACAGCAATATCACAGCAATACCATAGCAATATCACAGCAACACCACAGCAATATCACTGCAATATCACAGCAATATCACAGCAACACCACAGCAATATTCCAGCAATATCACAGCAATATCACAACAATATCACAGCAATATCACCGCAACACCACAGCAATATTCCAACAATATCATTGAAATATCACAGCAATGTCACAGCAATGTCACAGCAATGTCACAGCAATACCATAGCAATATCACAGCAATATCACAGCAATATCACAGCATTATTAGAACGAGATTTAGCAATAATAATAATACCGAAGCTCTACTATATTTCTCGTGTACTTTTAACATTCGACAGCCTTACCGCCTTACTATTCCAGAATCAAAGCACCGTCGGTGACGCCTTCATGCGGCAGATTCAGCCAATAGCTGCTTACCTCCCTTACATGACCTGCCCCGGCAACCACGAGAACAGCTAGTCAGTGTACCGTCACATACAACGCCCTCTGTCTAAACCGACATCCGTGAGATAAGGACTAAGGAGATGTCGGTTTAGACAGAGGTCGGTTTACAGAACATTTATACATTGCCAAAACGATTTGTCGGTTTGACGGAATGATATGTAATGTTAAAGTGAGTGAGTGAGCGATGATTTACGCCGCTTTAAGCCATAATCCAGAAATATCGCGACGGGGGACACTACACATCCAAGATTATTATCCAATCGCGTCCAAGATTATTGCACTTATATAGCGACGTGCATGCACGCGTGTGTGGCTGCTTGTACTAGTCCGGACTAATGCCGATTTATACTGCTAGCCCACTGAGATACCATGCCACAGTTTAACATAAGTACCCCACTCAGACACAGTTTTCTGACTCCGAGCCGACCAGTCCTTGTTTTAGCCCCTTAATGCCGAGCGCCAGGCGGGGAAACAACAAGTTCCATCTTTTAACGTCTTTTGGCACGTCGCGGCCGGAGATTGAACCCCGACCTTCCGCTGTACCACAAGAGGCGGTCTTATCTGATGTTAGCTGGTCGTTATATTACGGAGGAAGGAATGGGGCTATTGCTAGAACCACGCTTTCGCTGAGCATGACATCCTCGATTATCAGGTGTGATATCATCACCATATGATATCATAATAAATACCTCGGACCCAATCGCCACCATAGTATCGAAACTGACGTCACAACCACTCTTTCTGTTACCATCCACAGAATTTCTCTCGCCCAGGACAGTACAAGATTGAACTGCTCATTTGAGCGTCGAGCCTTTCGAATCCATCTTAGCTCGGCAAGGGTGGAAACTGGACTTTTAAAGTCAGTTAACTTCCTTGCCTCGGGAAGAAGTTCGAATCGGGCTGAAAACAATTCTATAGTGGCAAATTCGTCCAGGGTGTCATAATAGAATGAATAGCTCATACACTGGATAATCGAGGGTGTGGTCATGCGTACAAGCCACACATGTTTGTCAAGGTCAAGGTGAGTTGTGTCATGCTGGAACAGAGCGGGGGAATATGCGAGCGTTTGCGCGCGTAATACAATCCTTCATATATGATATTTACGAAACGGAATTAAGGTAATGATTTCTTTATCATGTAATGCCATTATTAAATGTTGTATTCCAAAAACATATTCTCATTCACACAATGAATGACGTAGCATTAGAGACCCCCATACTGTTTTTGTGTGAGTGAGTGAGTGAGTGAGGTTTTACGCCGCTTTAAACAATATTCCAACAATATCACGGCCAAGAAATGGGCTTCACACATTGTACCCATGTCGGAATGGAACCCGGGTTTTCGGCGTGACGAGCGAACGCTTTAACCACTAGGCTACCCGACCGCCCCAGTTTTCGTGTGAAATTCATCATGTAGTACAAATGTTTCAGCGACGCATTAGGCCTCCCCTAACTATATTGGGAATGTTAGTCACCAGTTTATTGAGAGAGAAGCATGGTATTTATGTATGAAACTTGTTGTTGTTAGGCGACGTCATTTGCATAAACCAGTGGTTGAAGTTGTGAGCATTTTCGTCGGTACGAGGACACGTCATATAAACAGGAGCAGGGAAAATGTTTATCAGTGAGTGAGTGAGAGAGTGAGTGAGTATGGTTTTGCGCCGCTTTTAGCAATATTCCAGCAATATCACTGCGGGGGACACCAGAAATGGGCTTCACACATTGTACCTATGTCGGGAATCGAACCCAGGTCTTCGGCGTGACGAGCGAACGCTTTAACCACCAGGCTACCCGACCGCCCCGAATGTTTATCGGGAGTTTCCGAGATATGGTTTCAAATATCTATCCTGAGGTTTCTAACGCTATGTTCCAGCAACTTCTCCAACTACAAGAACAGATTCACCATGCCCTTTGATGAACAGTCAGACAGGATGTTCTTCAGGTAAGCAATGCGCCATACAGCACAGCCATGTCGGAAGGAAACAAGAATTATAACATTATGTGAAGGATAAAGCGCTCCTCCTCTTTTATGGTCGAGGAAGTCCGAGGCAAGGAGGTATCGGTAATGTAAGACCGAGGAACCGATTGCCGAGGCTTACATAACCGAGGCTTACAAAACTTAAGTGAAGTTGCAGGTTCCTGTCATCCATACTGAAAAAGTTTCACATCTTGCCTTCGATTTTAGAACATTGTACGTCCAAATTCCATCTGCTACTCAAATCAGCAGGTCTTACTAATAAAAAGTAAAACCTCATACCAGGTCTTACTAGTAAAAACTAAAACCTCATACCAGATCTTACTAGTAAAACGTAAAACCCATACTAGGTCTTACTAGTAAAAACTGAAACCTCATACTAGATCTTACTAGTAAAAAGTAAAACCTCATACCAGGTCTTACTAGTAAAAACTAAAACCTCATACCAGATCTTACTAGTAAAACGTAAAACCCATACTAGGTCTTACTAGTAAAACGTAAAACCTCATACCAGATCTTACTAGTAAAAAGTAAAACCTCATACCCGGGATGAGTAACCCCCCCCCCCCCCCACCAAGAGGTTATTACAATAAAATAGGCAAAAGTGGCAGTAGGTTCACAGGTTGTGTGAAGAGTCGTTGGATATGATAGGAACGTATTTAAATTTAACTGGTATGCTTTTATTTTCATGGTATTCTCATTCAAATGCTGAGTAGAAAATTGTAGAAAACTGATTTGCCAATTTTTCGAACTTCTGTAGATTTTGCAAAATGACCCAAGATGATTTGTTAATTGTTCAGTACGATATCATACTGTATCGTACAGTGGTAAAGCCAGGTTCTCTCAACCCTTAAGGTTGAGGCTTTAATTACATCTTTCCTCCTCAGTGCGAGGCGTTCATCAGCTGTGTTTCTATATTTTCCAGTTTCGACATGGGGCCCGCCCACATCATCTCCTTCTCCACCGAGTACTACTTCTACGTCAACTACGGCATCTCTCAGCTCGTCCGGCAGTACGAGTGGCTGGAGCAGGATCTCAAGGTGGGAATAGCATAGTAGTGCCCTTCACCTTCTAGACACGTCCTTCACCTCCACCTAGACATGACCTTACCTCCACTTGAACACGTCCTTCACCTCCACTTAGGCGTGTCCTTCACTTCACTTGGAGATGTCCTTCACTTGAACACGTCCTTCACCTTCACTTGAACACGTCCTTCCCCTCAACTTAAACAAGTCCTTTACCTCAACTTAGACATGACCTTCACCTTCACTTCGACATGACCTTCACCTCAACTTAGACATGACCTTCCCCTTCACTTAGACATGCACAAAATTCACTCTCACACACTCACTTAACACCACATGCCTTCTATGTTTATCAAGGAAGCAAGTCTCCCCGAGAACCGAGCTAAGCGGCCATGGATAATCACCATGGGACACAGACCCATGTACTGCTCCAACGCTGACGACGACGACTGCACACACCTGGAGAGCTTGGTGAGGGCACTGTGTTGTCGTGCTCAGTTGGTTTACAGCTTATGTGTCCTTGTTCCTTGTTTATACCTCTGACAGAAACGAATCTTTGAAGCTTTGGTGTTTGTATATAAAATACAACTTGTTCAGAACGTTACAATGAATCGGGTTAGGCTAGCCCAAGCAAATGAATAAACTAAAAAGTTTGGAACTGCCGCCTGAAACCAGCGATGCAAGGATCTTACATATGTTATATGTGACATATATTATAACTGTCATACCTTCACCATACCCGTGCTCTAGGGATTCACCGAAGTGGTAGACATCTGAGACCTACATCACTTCGGGCTTTCCTCCCACATTAAGCTGACACGCCGTTACATAACTGTTATGCCACAATCCATATGGCCAACCCACAATCATAAGTTTCTGGCGTGCCAAGGGACGCAACTCTGCTCAGCGAATCGTGGCGCCTTAGACGACTGATGCTTTTAAGAATGTCTTGGGGGCACGGGGGCCCACTCGACTAAGGCGCCTCGATTCGCTGTGCAGAGTTGCGTCCCTTGGCACGCCAGAAACTTATGATTGTGGGTTGGCCATATGGAGTTGCGTCCCCTGGACACGCCAGAAATCTATGATTGTGGGTTCGAATCCCGGTTCGCTCCAATTATGTTTCTAGGTTTGTCAGCACCATACCCGTGCTCGTGGGTTTCACCGAAGTGGTAAACGTCTGAGACCTGCATCACTTCGGGCTTTCCTCCCACATTAAGCTGACACGCCGTGATATAACTGGAATAATGTTAAAAGCGGCGTTAAACCCAACTCACTCACTCACTCACTAAGAATGTCTTGTTCAAGTACCGTACGCCAGCAACAGATATTTTACGCCCGTTTCCTCGGGTTCATGGAAACTATGTTTGAAACATAAAAATGTTGATAAATGTTTGAAGTTTCTTTTTTCGGTTTATAAGTTAGATAAAACACCTCCCCCCGGTTTTTTTTTAATGATATTTAAAACCTTTATCCCGCGGATGCAAGTTTTAGATATCATAAATACCCTTCACGTAACTTACTTAATGTTGGAGACGACGTTAAACCCTTTTTACCTTCTAGTACGATTACCGTTATCTTTTAAGAGTTGTGATTTGAATCATAAGCATTAACTTAACCGCAGGTAAGAATCGGGGTCCCCTTCCTGAGGGTGGGTGGCCTAGAACACATGTTTGACAAGTACGGCGTGGACCTGGCGCTGTGGGCCCACGAACACTCCTACGAGCGACTGTGGCCCGTCTACAACAGGAAGGTGTGTACCAGCGAGGGGAAGTTCAGTCATTGTCATCGTTCTCTTTGTTCAGGTAAGGACTGGCGTTCCCAAGCTTCATGTTAACGGTTTGGAGGACATGTTCGACAAGTATGGAGTGGACTTGGCTTTGTGGGCTCATGAACATTCCTATGAACGCTTTTGGCCTGTGTTTAACAGAACAGTAAGTTGTTGGGTAACCTTTCTTAAGCGACAATGGTTATACGATGATCGGCCATACTACCCATGTAATGAGGTCTGAATGATAAACCTTCCCAATGAACTCTGAGTGAAAAGCCTTTACAATGAGGTCTGAGTAATAAGCCTTTCCCACGAGGTCTGGGGTATAAGCCTTTACAATGAGGTCTGAGTGATAAGCTTTTGCAATAAGGTCTGAGTGATAAGCCTTTGCAATGAGGTCTGAGTGATAAGCCTTTGCAATGGGGTCTGATGGATAAGACTTAATATGGGGTCTGAGGGATAAGCCTTTGCAATGAGGTCTGTGTGATAAGCCTTTCAAATGAGATCTGATGGATAAGCCTTTGCAATGGGTCTGAGTGATAAGCCTTTGCAATGGGGTCTAAGTGATAAGCTTTTGCAATGGGGTCTAAGTGATACGCTTTTGCAATGGGGTCTGAGGGATAAGCCTTAATACGAGGTCTGAGGGATAAGCCTTAAAATGAAGTCTGAGGGATAAGCTTTTGCAATGAGGTCAGAGGGATAAGCCTTTGCAATGAGGTCTGAGTGATAAGCCTTTGCAATGAGGTCTGAGTGATAAGCCTTTGCAATGAGGTCTGATGGATAAGCCGTAAAACGGGGTCTGATGGATAAGCTTTTACCACGAGGTCTGAAGGATAAATATTTACCACGAGGTCTGGGTGATAAGCCTTTACAATGAGGTCTGAGTGATAAGCCTTTACTACAGGGTCTGAGGTGTCAACCTTTACCACGAGGTCAGAGGGATAAGGCTTAACCACGAGGTCTAAGGGATAAGCCTTTATCACGAGGTCAGAGGGATAAGCCTTTACAATGGGTTCTGAGGGATAAGCCTACACAATGAACTCTGAAGGACAGACCTTAACCACGAGGTCTGAGGTATAAACCTGTATTATAACAGCAGTTATCGCCAGGGAGGTGGTTTTGTAACAGAAAGAAATACATTAAAACTATCAAAAGTATGTATAAAAACGACAGAAAAAAAATAGAAATAAAAAAAAAAGATGACTATATTTTCTTAATTTAGATACGTTGCGTTACAGGTGTATAACGGCAGCTACGACCAGCCCTACACCAACCCTGGGGCCCCAGTCCATCTGATAACAGGATCCGCGGTGGGAAACTTTTAAATACATTCCTCAAAGAACCTATAAAACTGAAATATGTAATACCATCATACATCACCTAGTGGCGTCATGATATATGACGGGGTCAGACAATCCAGTGATTGGTATTGTGAGCAGCGATCAAAACCGTCAGGTCACGGTGACACGTCACGGATGGCCACGTCACCGAGCTTGACCATCCGATCCACTATAGGTTTCTGGAGACCTACTCAAAACCGGAATAGTCACGGGGTTGTCATGCGTGTTAGTTTAGTAGGACTGGTTGGTTTGTTGTTCAACGCCGCACTCAGCTATATGACAGCGGTCTGTAAATAATCGAGTCTGGACCAGACAATCCAGTGATTAATATAATGAGCATCGATCCACGCAATTGGGATCAATGACATGCATCAACCAAGTCAGCGAACCTGACCAACCGATCCCGTTAGTCGCCTTTTACGACAAGCATAGTCACCTTTTACGGCAAGCATGGATTGCTGAAGACCTATTCTACCCCGGAATCTTCACGGGTCCAGTAGTTTAGTAGGAGCACGGTTGGGTAGCATAGTGGTTAAAGCGTTCGCCCGTCACGCCGAAGACCCGGGTTCGATTCCCGACATGGGTACAATGTGCGAAGCCCATTTCTGGTGTCCCCCGCCGTTATATTGCTGGAATATTGCTAAAAGCGGGGTAAACCGATACTCACTCACTAGTTCACTAGGGTGACCTTTGTGCACGGGTATTGTTCTAATCGGCCACTGATTATAATCGGGGCGATCTGGGACTCGAACACACGACGAAAATACCTTTTTACTAAGGGACGCAACCCTGCAAAGCGGCACCATAGACTACTGGTCCACTCTGTAGACGAACATGATAAGATATCTTTGCAATGGGATTTTGAACGTGAATAATACATTAAATAGTAGAATATATGCCGATCATTTCTCGCACAGGGCTGCAGTGAGCGTCATGACAACTTCCTCAAAGATGCCGGTCCGTGGTCTGCACTCCGTAACCTTGACTACGGTTATACCCGGATGACCATCCACAACAACACCCACATCAGCTTGGAACAGGTGTCGGATGACAAGGTGAGACCAGGATGCTTAGTAATCCCGTTCACACTGTAGTTATCCTTACATATATCTCACACACAACTTCAATCTCATTAAAATCAGATCTAGGTTCTCGCTGCCGCTAAACAAAGATCTAAGGACATCCCATTACGGGTCACGTCAGAACGACCTTTCGCGAACATTGCCCGACCACTGAAATGACTAACAAGAAGTCGACATCAGCCAATTAGAAAGCAGCTTTCTCGACCTTTACGCCACTCGTTTCAACCTGGCGACTTCCATTTCAGACTACGCTTGAAAAATATGTTGACACAGTTCTCGATAAAAATTTGGAAAACTGAACAAACAAACATTCCGGAATGTCGAATATATGGTTGAGATTGTATGGCAGTGCTTCCCACATACTGTGCAATACCTTCTCCGTTCAAATGTTTATCCCACGGAAGCGAGAGACAGAATCAGTCGTACGGGCCGTAACTGTCGTTCGGAATACCCCGTGTTAACGTTTTCGAGATTGCATGATAAGGAAACACATTCCGACTGTCACTTTCATGATCATTCGTGACCAACTCGTGTTATTCCGGGACAAGCCGATCTCTTTGCAGGTTACGGAAAAGGGCGAGTAGTGACGAATGTTTCATGATCTGGTAAGCGACGCTTTGATTGGTCGGATGATTTTAAAGGTCGTTCTGACGTGACCCGTAATGGGATGTCCTCAGATCTTTGTTTAGCGATAGCGAGAACTAAGGTCTGATTTTAATGCGATTGCACACAACTTTGTCACCTGATGTCGGCGTTCATTACGTATGTTCTCGACAAGACATTAGCATGCACCTACCTGAGTTCCAGCTGTTGCAAGATGTGACTTTCGGTGTGCACGCAGGCACATATAGACATGGCACATAACTGATTTATAGACAACGTTGAAATCTGATGCAATTCTTCCCTGTTTTGTTGCAGAAGGGGCAGATTGTGGATAGCTTCATTCTCATCAAAGACAAACACGAACCCTACGGGCTAAGTGGCGACTACTGAAACAGTGGCAGAAAGTTCCCGAAAAAATATGTTAAAAGCACTTAAATGTAAATTACATGTAATGTTTTTTTTAGTATGGGCATTATCCTGATTTCAGCTTTATAAAATGTTTATATATATATGTTAATTTTTGATGTCTTCATTAGTTTCGAACTTGAATTTTCGCCGTATTTTGAAGATATTTGCTTAGATTCTTTATCTATACTTGTATATTTTTTTTTCATTAAAAAAGTTGAAATGTTGTTGCCATCTTATCTAATTATCTACAATGGAAGAATAAAGACATGTCCCAAACGGTGTGGTGGCACTGACCGGCTTATCGCCGTAGCTAGCAGTATATCAACCATGTCACGGCCCCCTGGTAACTGTTGCGGGGTTTAGCTAGCAGTATATCAACCATGTCACAGCGACCTGGTAACTGTGGCCG